GATAAAATAATTGTTAGGTAAAATTTCCTCATAGCATAGCATAGTCATGTCTATACTCTCCGGTTCACACGTAAGAATAAAAATATATAATGAAAGTTGATGGAATTTCAGTTAAATTTCATCTTAAATAATGAGATAAAATAAATCATAATAATAAAATAATCAAAATATTTTTGTCTTAGAATATTTTGAAAAATATATACATCGATTTATACAAACAAAGTAATAAGTATAAAAATGTTAAAGGAGGGATAAAATTACAAGAAAAAAAAAGTATATAATGTAATGTGTGGTTGCATGAAGAAAGCTTTTACTTCATCAAAGTGTAATAAAAGATTGTAACAGATGATGAAGGAAAAATGGTTAATTGTTTGTTTGTTTATGCTGAAAGTGAAAGAAATAACTCATTCATACGAAATGTAGAGAGTGAAAGCGAAGGGTCCATAAAATTTGACACAACTTTTTGTTTTTTTTTTTAAATACATGTCATCTAAAATAATTTAAATATAATTCCAGTGAAAATTTATTTATTTAAGATTATGGTTTTATGAGAAAATTATACTAGAAATATATTGTGATTGAGTGAAATCTTAAAGAAAATAAGAAATCAAATTTATACAGAACTTTGGATCTTAAAAAATAAAAAATAACCATAATATTTTATAACACTGATTTCAAAAGAAAAAATAATTATCCAGACATTCAAATATAACATAGTAGGAGCAATTTGAAGTGAATAAATCTTATGAAAAATTGTTAGTTCACATGGTATGAGTTGACCGAATATTTATCGTAAAGATAGACACACTTTTCATTTTTATTAAATACCTTAAGAAAATTTACATATTATTATTATTTATATGTATAAACATATTTGAGTTTACATATAATTAGGATTTACATGTATAAACAAGATTAAGATGAATTTGAGCTTAATTATAAACATACTTTGTAATACTTGATGTATATAAGCTTTCGTATTTTATTTTTATTTCTGCCCAATAATATATTTTAGACTCATACTCACGTTTGCAAACAACTCAAAAATTAATAAATACTTTTTAAAAAATTAAAAGCATCAAACTATTATAATAAAATAATTAAAATAAAAACGGAAATATATATATA